TGAGAGTTGGTAGAATGTACATCATTCTTATCCTTACCATCTTTTTCAGAGCACTGAGGTTCCACAGAGTATGTGATTAGCCTACAGCTATCAGTTTTCTCAAGGACTCTGGTTTCATTCATTTGACAAATATTTATTTAGTGTCTATGATGTGCCAAGATGGGGATATAGATAGCAGTGACTAGTGCAGAAGATACATATTAAATAAATTAATATAAATCTAAGAAACAGTAAATGCAGGGGGAGGTGATAAAGAGTAGTTTGTGGGGAGGGACATTTTGAACAGGATGATAAAGAGCTATTTCTGAGGAGGTGGCACTTGGGCAGAGATCTGGGTGGAGAGAGGGGATGACTACCTGTGCCTGGGAAGAGGAGTTCTCTAGGCTGCGAGCATTACCAGTTTTAGGCAAAACAAGGATGCCTGTAGGCTAGAGCTCCATGAACAAGGGATATGAGATCAGAGAACCAGGGGTCCAGTCACGTGGGGCCTTCAAGGAGTAGACAATGGCAAGAAACGTGAAAGTGATTTCAGGGCCAAAGTGTCCATCTAACTGCTGTGTGGAGAACACCTTTAACGATGAGCAATAGTAGGAACAGGGAGACCAGCTTGAAATGTCATAGGATGAAAGGTAATGTGAGAGAGATGAGGAGTAACATTCAGGTAAAGGTTGATGAATTGATGTGGAGTGTTTGAAAAAGAATGATATCAAGGATTCCTCTTTGGTTTTGGGCCCAAGCAATTACATTCTGAAATGCGGAACACCCGGAGTTCAGGTGGAATGGCGGTATTTATTTTGCATATGTTAAGTTTAAGATACTCATCAGGCAATAAAATGAATATTCCAAACTGGCAGTTGGATATACCAGTATATTATGTTGTTCAGGGGAGAAGTTGGGTATAAAGATATAAATTTGATAGTGCTGGTATATAGATGTGATTTAAATCTATGAAATTAGATGAGGTGCATCTTGAGAGTAAGTTTAGGTGGAGAAAAGGCCCAAGTTTCCCAACTTTTAATAATTGTCAATTAAAATAGAGGACCGCCCCCCAAAATCATTCACACACAAACCCAAACCAAAGCTGAGCTTATTTACATGTCAGGCAAGGAGAAATTCACTATTTCTCTAAGGGAAAAAAGTCAGACTTTTTAAACCTTAGGAAGAGGGATATAAGGTGGTTGAGCTAATTCAGAACTGAAAATCAGCACTGTGGATAGGAGAGAATGAGTTTCTAAGTCTGTATGTGATTGTTTCAAACAAGTCCCTTGTTCATTGAAGTCTAGGAAGGGTCGCATGTCCTGGGGTCACTTGGAATTCATGGTCTTTGTCTCAGTCAGCTGATTGAAGCTGCTGTAATGAAACAGTATTCAGCCATGAAATCTCCTAGGCATTTGCTGCTGGAAAGCGGAGAATGCTCATTTGGCACAGCCTGGAAGATGGGGAGGATCTGGCAAAGAATAGTAAAGAGGATTTGCCACTGAAGCAGGAGGCAAGGAGTACGGCAACCAAGGACTATGTGGTCACCAGGATACAAGGAATCCAAGAAGCAGGGATGGTTGGCAGGGTCCAGTGCAACTGAGAGGACTAGTAAGTTAAGGACTGAGATGTGTCCATTGTACCTGCAAGTTGGGGTCGCTGGTGACCTTGACTTGGAGTAGTGGAGATAGTCTTGATTTTATTGAGTTTAAGAGAAAATGGGAGGGAAGAAATGAGACAGAAGCATAGACAAATATTTGAAGACATTGATCTGTAACAAAGAGCAGAGTAATGGGACAGTGGCTGAAGGAGAGTGTGACAGTCAAGGAAATTGGTATATATTTGCTGCAGATGTGATTGATGGTAAAGGGACAAAAATGATGTAGGAGAAAGGGGGAACTATTGCGAGAGCATATTCCTTGAAAAGAGATGAGATTAGAGCCCAACTAAAGAGGCTGCCATTGCTTATGAGAATACACAGTATATGACAGGAGAGAAGGTAGCCTATAGAGGTACTGATGCCTGCAAGCTGGGAAATTAGCGTTTCTCTTCTCAATGAAATAAGAAACAAGAATACTGGCTGAGAAGGTGGAGAAACTGGGAATTGGAGGTTTGAGGGGTAAGAGAGAGTTGGAAGTGGTGGTGCTGGAGAGAGAGAGGTAAATTGAGTTTGTCGGGGAATGCAGTAGGATTCCAGGGCAGTCCTGAGGGTTCTTTTGAGATTTGTGGCTTTGAATATAAAATGAGGCACGCCAGCATTGTGGTCTATTTCTCCTCCCCTTCTGTTTCCCTCCTCTCTCACTGCCACATCCAGCTGCTCAGGACAATTGTGGAGGAGGAAAGAGGCAAAGAAGTTGCATTGTTTGCAGGGGAATTGTTATAGTGATGAACCACAGCATCTACTGGGGACATGAGAAAGTGAGGTGCTTCGAAAAAGAGTGGTATCTAGAAGTTGGGAGTTTCAAAGTGCATTTCTCTCCTTTTTCTCCTCAGCTGGTGTCCATGCGAGCCGCACTGGGAGCCCGGAAGCTCTTGCTCCTACTTTCCCCTTTCCTATCCGTTTTATCCCTCTTCCTCAGCATCCAGTACACTCTTCTTGGTCCAGTGGGTTTTAGTCACACACTTTCATCCCATCCATTGGTTCTGGTCAGGCCAATTTCACTTAAATTCCTCACATTTTCAGAGGAAGCACCAAAAGCAAAACCAAAAAACCCACCACCACCAACAGCACAAAAACCACAAGCCTTTCTCTTGCTTACATGGATTGCTTCTCTTGGCATCGCTTTTCTCTGCTGGCGTGAGGGGGGCAAGGGCAGCAATGGGAAGTAAATAGGGAGCCTGTGCTTATTAAACACAGAAATGCTTCCTTCTTGATGTTCTAAATTTATAAATATTCCATGCACGTTGGCTAGAATTCACATATGCCTTAGTGCTTTTAATATTGGCAGATAACTTCATCCCTACTGGCTGTGTTTTCTTAGTCTTTTCCTTCTCAGGTGAGGAGGCCCAGCCTTTTGGCTGATCTCTCTATTTGTACGCTCAGCCTTATGCAGTAAATCACTACCCACCTACCTCTGAGGCTCATGTGAGCTTAGTCTCCTGGCAGAAATTCTAAAGCTTCCTGTAAGGGCGAGAGAAACATTTCTGCTTTCTCTCCAGTAATCAACTTTGAAGATGCCCAATAATTTATTGGAATTTTTTGATACAAAATGCTTCAAGTTTATCTTTAAGGATGACCCACAGTGACACCCATGGCTCTTGCTGGGCCATGATTCAGTCCTCAGATCCCTTCCTTTTAAATCATTTTAGATTTTTTTTTATTGGTGAATATATAACCTGGACCTTGTCCATATTAAAAGTCATCTGTCATTCTGTGCCCACTCACAGATTCATAAGTGCTTCCTGAAGTGTAGCCCCATCTGCTTGGTGCTTCATATCCAGGAAGTAAATACCATTCCCAAACTATATGTTTAAGAAAAATGACCTCACTTGGAAACCAGGAAATATAGCTAGGTTTGATCTTCCTGTTGTTTCAAAACTACTTAAAAATTTGAGCTACGCTGATGACTCAGACACAGAAGTGCTAATTTTTATTCACATGAAGATCATTGTAGGAATCGGTTGCCAGAATCTTCTCAAAAACTCTCACACTCTTGTCGTATTCTGGAGCATGTTCAGTGGTGATCTCTGACCTTAGCTATTGCCCTTTGGGGGTCCTGAATGGCCTTTTGGAGAGCTGTAGAACACCTTGCAATAGTTTGTGGGGGTCTTTGAAATACTGTGTGTGATAGCATCAGATCAACCTGGTCTGTTGACTCTAGTCTCTTGGCCATAGTCAGAATATTAAACTTCTCTCCACCTCAATTTCCCTGTCTACAAAATGGGGAGCAACAATAGTACCTATCCACAAGGTTATAAAAAGTTAATATAATCAGATATTTAAAGCACTTAACATAGTGCCTGGTCCATATGTGCTTAATTCTTATTATTAATTATTTGAAAGTCTAATAAACTCAAACATGCCCCAAAGTAGTCCTATCTGGACATGGGCCTCACCACTCTCAGCCCCGTTGCCCCTTTCTATAGACCCTGTCCCCTTTCAGTGAATTGCCTCTTGACCTATTTTATAGAAATGCTACCAGAAAGATATATCTGGGCAACACATTTGTTTACCAAACAGAACTTATTCTCACATCCCTTCTTTAACAGAAAAAGCCTTGCTTGTCTTAAAACATTAGCAAATGGTGACTGAGTTGGGGATTTCAGGCAAGTACTGCATTAGAGCATGCAATGCCTGTTCATTTGATTTGTAAATTAATTTAAGTATTTAAAAGTCTAAAAAACTTATATGTGTCCCCAAGTCGACGTCTGTGGCCTCAGATGAGATTACTTTTCACCACACAAAACCCACTTGAGGTATTGTTACACAAAAGAATAATATTGCTTTTGCTCTTTTGTTCTCAATCCTTTTGTCTCACACACAAATGAGCAACATTAGTCCTTTGTGGCTTTCTAGACTCTTGGCTCTGGGGGAAAAAACCCATGACCTACCATTTTTTTAAAAAATAATATAATTGTCAAAAACTCATAACTTGAGTGCAATTTCAACCTTCTCATTGATAAGGCGACAACCCAAATAAGCAACATTTAATGAAGTTACAAGTCTGAACATAACATATAGTAGAAGCAATATTTGGATGAGATGAATTGAAGTTATCTATAAAGTTGCACACGTTCCTGGGATAGAGCTATTAGACCAAGCCATTAAGTGGCCTGGCTTCTAGTTCATCTCCCAGAAGTCTTGGCAGGCCCTTGGTCACAAGATTCAGACTTCTTAGGTTTGGCTGCCCTTGGTAGCAAATGTGCATTGAGGTCCTCAGGTCAATTCAATGTTCTAGTAGTTTGGTCTTTCTTGCCTTATTTTCCAATAGATGTCTTGAAAGCTTCTTATAAACTTTCTTTTAAAAAGTGATATGATACATCCCCAACAGATGGATTATTATTCTCTCTCTTTTTATGTCCAGGTCACAGCTCCTTAGAGTCACCGACAAGCCTGCCTTCCCCTGTTCCTGATTCTTTTGCATGGAATCTGACCTGGATAATGAAAGATTCTTTCCCTTTTCTGTCTCATCGCAGCCGATATGGTAAGTATATTTTTGATAGTTGTTTGTGATGTACAAATTATCATCTCAAGGAAGCTGTGGATTTCAGTTTGTTCTCCATGGCTCTCCATGGGTCCCTCATCCCCCAAAACACAAAGGAAGTCTTTCTGTGCCTTTAGTCTTATGTCAACACTCATGCCAGTCCTATCTAGACTCAGGATGCATTCTGTAACCTGAAGGCTTTGTTGCTGTGTTATCTAATCGCCCCCCCTCAAGCCCCCAGCCTTTATGTTATTCTGAACATTCCCTAACCAATCATTACATGTAATGCTTATTTGCATTTTGACTGTGATTTTTCAGATATAAGATTCTAACCCAGGACTGTTTCTAATAATAGATATTTCTTGAGAAAAGATTGTTATTATGAGGGTTGCAGGTCCTCTGAGCCCCTCAAGTGACTCCCTTACATTTGAGTATCTCTTTGAAGGTGCCTAAACACATTTCAGATATTTCAATTCATTTGATTCTGCAACAAACTCAGAAATAGAGGCCACATTCCACCCATTCCATTTTAACATTTGTAGAAATGGAATGGGTGGACTTAATAAGATCACATAGAGTGGATTCTCTAACTACAAAACTGAATTCTTTCTTTATAGTCACTTTGTCTCTCAGGGATCTGCCTGAGAGATCTGCCTACTCATCCTGCTAGGTCCTGTTCTAGGAGTCCCCAGGAGGCCATATTTACCTGATATAGGATTCCTTATTCTTTGTGCTCATCTTAACAACTCATGGGAGCTGGGCCTCTGCAGAGGAAAGAGCAGCTTTGGAGGAGAGCTAATGTATTTCCAGGTGGATATTTTTTCTTTTAAACTCCTCTAGAGTGGACCCCTTGAGGGCAGGCACTAGGCTGTGTTTGCTCCTCACTATGTCTCATCACATAGAAGACACTCATAAAAGTTGAGCATGATGAATGCAGAAGGCTTCCAGGGAGGGAAGTCACGCATGAGGCCTGATTGGATTAAGCATTTATGAACCCAGTATAGCACTGAGTTCTAGCTCCCTTCTGGGCATATTTACCTATTCCTGATGCTCAGGCTCTGCCCTTGGGCCTGAGCTATTTAAAATGCACCTAACAGAGATCTTCCACTCACTGCTATCTCTCATCCATAATGCAGTTAGTCTTGTTTAATATTAGCTGTACCTTTCATTTCAAACTTAAAAAAATAAGTGCATCAGAACCCCTAGGACAGTTTAGGTTTATACTCTGCTGGGAGGTTTCCTGCTAGTCCTAAGCCTCCCCAGTGGGAGAGGAAGATCAGTAGTTGTCAGGAGAGTCCAGATAAGAATTACTTGTTGATTTTATTTCAGCCAGACATTGAATGTCATCTTATAATAAGGGCAAGTGTCTATAAATAATTGCAACCTGGTTCTTTGTATTGTTACTGCCTTTTAATCAAATTTGTGATAAAAACCAGTCTGGATAAAAATTTGAATTTGTTTTCAAAGTCATTCAACTTTTATAAAATACAGAATGACCAAAAAAAAAAAAAAAAAAGAAAGAAAGAAAAAAAAAAAAAAGGCAGGTTTGCCTCCTGCGTGACTCAGGAAAGATTGCATTTATTCTTTGTGGTGTATCCTTGTCATGTGGAATCCTCATGATTTCCCAAACCATTGGCCAGACGTTGCCCAATGTTTAACGGGAAGGCCAAAGTCAGCACTGCTTTTGACTCACAGGTGTGAAGAGATGATTCTTGACTGAGTGCAGTGGTAATTCCAGAGCCTCTTCACCTTCTTTATCATATGTAATTCAGCTTAGACTGAATTAAAGACCTACCTGCCCCCATCACCATTTCTATGTGCCTGGTCTAGTGCCAGATGTTGGAGTTGATAAAAATACAACAGTGAGTAAGACTTGTTGCTGCTCTCCCAGCGCTCAGAAAACAGAGACATAATTCTGAAGGCAGCTAGGCTCATTGCCACTAAGAGTTCCTTTGGGGCTCACCCCAGAGCACAGAGATTGTGTATTCACCCTGAGACCTACTGCAGAGCAGACTAAAGCCAGGGTTAAGGCCAAGACTCCTGTCTCCTTAAGGATGTTTGTGGTGGCTCAGCCCATAGCTCTGTATGAACTAAAGAGGCCACCAGGATCAGTGGTGATAAATCCACACCTTCTAGCTGCCTGCCACGAAAGACATTTTAAGAAATATTAACAACTTCATTAATTTTAAGGCCTCAAACTTGAGTGGAGAAATTTGACTGGAAAATTGCCGCCTAAAGGGATCATTCTTCGGACAGTGAGATGTAACCAAGTCTCAGTAAGTTGATGTGGGCACTTGAGTGGCGGAGGTTTGTGCCTGGCTGACTGTTTCCACCTGCATTCTGGGGAGGAGCTGTGGGCATTGATGAGAGTAGGCATCCACAGCCTGACAACAGGCATTCCGACTAGACAGCTGTCTCAGGCCAGCTGACCAGACTTGAATTGAGTATGGCTTTCTCTTCATCAGTGTTTTATGGGAAGAGATGAAGTAGAGAGAGGCTAATAAGATTTATCCACCCCCAGCCTATAATTATCTGCTTGAGGAAAAAATTTGACCTATCTTTTGGAGGTCTCCCTATATTTCTTCTAATTTGCATTGGGGCCTTTTATGTTGTGTAAAATATATTCTCTTTAGTGGCATTTAGTACCTGATTTCAGTTCTTTCTCGCCACTTGTCCTGAACGATGGGAGCCTGCTGATTTCATCACCGACAAGCAGAGAGCTGCATGCTCATCTCTATGCTTTGGAGGAGGGAAGACATCTAAAGAAACACTTTTTTCCTTTTATCATCAGCTCTGCTGCCTTAAGACTTATAGGCTTGACTACAAGGCTTAGGCTCTAACTACCCATCCAGATAAAAATCTGTTCCAGTCCTGTCAGGGTTGCTCAGTGGTTGAGCATTGACCTATGAACCAGAAGGTCATAGTTTGATTCCTAGTCAGGGCACATGCCCAGGTTGCAGGCTTAATCCCTGGGATGTGCAGGAGGCAACTGATCAATGATTTTCTCTCATCATTGATGTTTCTATCTCACTCCCTTTCTGAAATCAACAAAAATATGTTTAAAAAGAAAATCTGTTCTAGCCAGTAGCTCCAGGTGCTAAGAGATTAAGGCCACCAAGGGGTTTGATGACTCACTGGGGCCACTGAGCTCTGAAGCAATAGAACAGATGGTACCCTGCCCAGCTGTAATTCATGTTTGCCCACTCTGGGTGTGGGAAGAAACCAATCAACATTTAAAACATAATAAATAACCAGAGGTTCTGGGCCAGGCAAAGAGGAGAAATAATTTTCATACAGGAAAAAAAAGTTTGATACTTTATAAAACTGTTTCATACACCCTTTTCTCACTTATTATAAAATTGTAGTGGGTAGATATTATTTTATAAAACATTTTTATAGGGCCAAAGATCTTTACTTATGTGCTTCCAAGTTATGGAGCGGGTGGACAGTTAGAAAAGACTGAACTCAGATTTTCCAACTCCAAGTTGAGTGCTTTTTCTACCACATCACAAAGTGGATTCAAAGATAAAGTCTCCTCTTAATGAGGGGGCCTTCATTTCCTAGCCAACCTGGTGTTTGGACTGAATGACAAGTCTGATATTCCAGATTGGGGCAGCAGTAGGATCAAAACTTGTCCCTAAATTGAGACTGTCCCATGTAGGCCAGGTAATGCACCTCTTTCTAAATGTGAGTATAGCCCCCCTCTGCCCAAGCACCATGGTCCATCTTGTTTTCCTCACCAGAGACTATAGTCTCTGTTAGCAGTTGAATTGTGGCCCTCCAAAAGATACATTGAGCTCCTAATCCCTAGTACCTGTGAATGTGATCTTACTTAGAAATAGGGTCTAATCATACTGGATTAGAATAAACAAAGACACAGGATAAGCACCATGTAAAGATGGAGGCAGAGATTAGAGTGATGCATCTCAAGGCAAGGAATACCAAGGAGTGCTGTCAGTCACAAACAGCTATGAGAAAGGCATGGCACAGATTCTCCCCCAGAGCTGTCAGAGGGAGCATGGCCCTAGTAATGCCTTGATTTTGGACTTCTGGCCCCCAGAACTGTGAGAGAATACATTTCTGTTGTTTTAAGCCACCCAGTTTGTAGTACTGTGTTATGACAGCTCTAATAAACTAATAAAAGTTCTGTTAAAACTTTGTCTGCTTCCCTGGCCATGGGACCATCCAATTTAGGAACTGATACTTTTGTAAAGAAAGAAAAACTATACTTTTTAATTACTTCCCTGTTGCTGCTAATCATTTTTTATTGAAAAGATTGAGTAATTAAATATAATTCTCCCTAAAAATAAATCAACCTATTACTAACTAAAAAATGGAAAACAAAAAGGCTCTCTAGTCCTCTTTAGGATTTGCTTCATAACTCAGGAAGCAATTCTGTTTGATCACATTTCTAAAATTACATATTTAATGTGGCTAGCTATGATCAGTCCTTCCACTCTTAAGAGCCTGCACCAGTGAAAAGCAGCTCCCAGCTCCTTAGTGGCCCAATGTTAGGGCTGAAAGCTTTCATACCAGTTCTTCTGCCCTAATAGGCCAGGACTTCTTGTGTCCTCTTCCCATCACTGCTCCATTGAGCTGGATAGTCAAGTGTTTTCTTAGTCTATGCCTGTGTTTTTATCTACAACACTTTAAGCAAAAGGCCTCTGGATGCATTCACCCTAAAGACTGAGTCCCAAAGGGGACAGCAAAGCCACCAGTCATACAAAACCAAGAGCAGAAAACATCAGACACCCTCAGGACTACTGGCCTGTTGGGATCCAAATAACTCAATCCATGGAAATTAAATAAAAAGCAGTTGGCTTTGATGTTTCAAGGAGAGATTTGTTTAAAATGCTCTACTTCATCATATCTCTTATGAAGACATATAGATCCACTCAATAAATACCAACAATTTATCTCTACATTAGTAAAAAGAAGCAGAAAGGAAACAAGTCAGGTTAAAATATAATAAATGTTTCACCAGCTGACACAAGGACAAG